GTGTGTGTGTGTGTGTGTGTGTGTGTGTGTGTGTGTGTGTGTGTGTGTGTGTGTGTGTGTGTGTACAGATGGTGTGAAACCTCCTCAGGCGGACATCAGTGGAGTTATACCAGTTCTAAGGCTCCGTGAAAGCTCCTCCCGTTCCACCGGAATGCGTGTGTCGGTGTGGACGTGGCGCGGCCGAAAACACGGAGACGGGAGCACAAAGGAGGCTCCCTGCGCAGACTCACTGACACGGCAGCTCGTCCACGTGGAACCTGTCATCGACCAAAACACAGTCCGGTCTCCGTGGCAGCCATCAGGGGGGGTGGGGGTACAGGACGTTGCGCAGTGCAGGACCGGGAGGTGGGACGGTGCGGGAGACAGACAGAGGTGGAGGCTGCTCCAGATGTGAATCGGTGGACATAACGCTGCCTGAGCTAAAGACAGTCACCATGCAGACAGGTAGGCTCCTTCTAACTACTCTGCCACAGCTGGATCCTCATCTTACAGTGAGCAATCAGAATGTATGATAATAATAATAATAATAATAATTGAGTCAGGGCAGCTCTCACTTAAACTCCTCATTCATTTGATTTGTTTGATTTCGTGGCTTTGATCTGCTTTGAATCGAAGAGCGTCAGTGTGCATGAGGCTGTGTAGTAATGCTGCAGTGTTAGCATCGCTGCTGCTCCACTGTAGGAGGAGCTGTAGTTTGGTGTGTGTTTCAGTGGAGATAAAGCAGCCCACCATACACCTCACTGCACTTGAATCCACAAATACAACATGTGCTCGTGCTGCTTGCCCGACACTGTGGATGTGCTGAGCCATAAGTAGATGCAGAGGTTTGAGTCGGTGGAACCATAATTGAGCACAGGGTTCAGCATCTGTCTCACTGGCCTGCAGGACTGCAGCACTGCTGTGTTCATACACTGATGTTTTTATGTGTAGGCAGCAGGTGTGACATGTAGATCTGACACATATAAACAGCTTCTAGGTTATACAGTAAGTATGTGGATGTATTCAGACACTTTAGACACATCATGCAACAATCATCCTTCAACCACAACACTGTCCCTAACGTTAATCCATCAATGATGTTAAATCCAACCAGGAAACATCTAGAGACAACAATTCTCTTTGAGTTTTGCTTCTTTAGTTGATTATTGTGGTAAAAGTGTCGACTGCTTCCAGGTAGATTCATCAGATAAGATTACATCATCCTTTATCAGTCCCACTGTGTGAGGAGCTTTGCCATGACCATGGTCTGTGCAGATGTGATGTGAGGTCATAACATGGCTGTGTGCTCTTAGGTGTGTTCATGAAGTCTCACCTGGACACGTTGGTCCCGTGTGTCCTGCTCCTTCACCTGTGTCTGGCTGCACCAGGTCAACCAGGGACACAGAGGTAAACCCACAACCCCTCATTCTTCCCTGACCCACACTGCATCCTCCCACCAAGTTCTGTTCAATAGTTTTATTACGTAAACTAACAAACCAACAAACAGAAATGGGGTGAAAACATAACCTCTTTGGTGGAGGTAATAAAATGGTATGAAAGTAAAAGAAGAGGTTTTTGACACATGTTTCATTACAGTTAATTTTTGTTAATCTCACAGAGAGGAATCAGTAGATGACCCTTCTCCGTCTGTAGCACTACCCAATCCCTTTGGCTCTGGGGAGGAGGACCGCAGGTGAGTAATGCAAACCACATGTGTTTGAGTCTGTTATAGTGGAGGAAGAAGCTACTGTCTGGTGACTCTGTGGACTTTGGCTGCTGTGTTGTGCAGATGATGTGGCCTGCACCATATACCGATAAGATCACATGTGTGATAACATGTTGCAAATAAGATCAGTTTCCCCTTCAGTGTACTGACCCATATTGGCACTAAAGTAAAGCCTTAGTGCCACAGTGTGCTGGTGAGAATGTGAACACAGATTATTTCCACTGGCTGATTAACCACTGTGTAACCTTATTTGTTGCGGTCATCTGTGAGGGTTTTTTCCAGGTACTCCAATTAGGGAAATGACCTGGAATTATTTCATCGGCCGCCATAATAAGAGTTGTTTGAGTTCTCTAAATGATATGGAATGGAGCATTAATGCTTCCTAACTTATTTCCACAGGATCCCAAATATAAGAAACTGAGAAAACACTGCTCCACAATTTTATTGCGGCAGCAACATTTAAAGCGAGGCAACATCATAGAGACAGAACAGCTGTTTAATTCTCTTAACACAATCATCTGAGCTTCTGATTTCTTCTCTTGTAAACAACAGAGACAAAAATCAAAAACACAAGGAAAACATTGTGGTAAAAGTTCAGAAACACAAATAGATCCAGATGATGAATCAAAAGTTCTTAAAGACCTTAAACTGGAGCAAAATCTTCTCATGCACTTCTTTCAAACCTTGTAACCTTTTAAAGTGTTCTATATATATATAGAGAACACTTTAAAATACTTTTTTGTTAAAATGTGCCATATGAATAACCTTGTCTACACACTGAAGACTCCTGCTTTTAAAGTATTTACATCCTAAGCAGGACAACCTGAATCAATACTGCTACCAATTCATTGATTTAACAAATAATAGCAGAGTGACTCGGGATAAGAAAGCTTTGTCCTCTCATCTGGTTTACGTAACATGTGGAATAACCTGCACAGTGATTTAGATGAGGTGGCACCTCTTCCTGCTATATTGAGTCATGAGTCAAGACCTCAAGACTAAGCTTAAAGATATAAGAAGTAGCCTAAAACTCTGCCCTCTTGTGGCCGACTGTCATACATGATACTGACTGTACTTAAAGGTTCAGTGTCTAGACTTTAGTGACATCTAGAGGTGAAGTTGCATGTTGCAGCTGAATGCTCCTCATTTCACCCTCCCCTTCCCAACACGAAAGAGAACCTGTGGAAGTCTTCAGTTGTCATGAAAACTTAATGTTATTATACAGTTTTGAGGTATAAGAGCCCATTCTATGGTAAAGAAAACAACAATTCATAGAATTTAGATGAAACACACCAGTGAAAACATCACTAGGATCATTTTATATTCAATTTCTGCCAAAAATCCCTTTCACCTAAATCTTACACACTGAAGTAGAAATCAGCCTGTTTATCAGTTGCAACACAAATTAGTCCTTGTTTAACAAATATGACTCGCCAGTTTTTGTTGGATTTAAAATGATGGATTGGAAAAACTGTGTGTGCCACAGGCTGCTGCAGAGTTTCATTCAATCCAGTGTGAAGGAGTCTGAGGGTCAGGGAGGAGCAGATATCAGCTCCTGGGAACAAGGTAGATATCTCCACCTGCTGGTATGACACCTGTAGAAGATCTGACACAGGACTTTGATTTTAGCAAACACACAAACTTTCATTTTACACACAGCTGCTCACTGAACTATGTCAGGTTCTAATAGTTAAGTGCTATGACTTTGCCTGTTTGAATTTTTTTTAGATGACGACGAGAGAATATTTAAGCTTTTGTCTGTTATTCTGTTAGAACGTATGTGTTCCACACCATATTCTTGACCTTGTATGTAAAGTGCCTTGAGATAATGTATATTATGATTTGACGCTATACAAATAATATTGAATTGAATTGAATTCTTATCGTCGCTAAAACAAATGTGTTTAAACATGTCACTATTCTTCTTCTCTCTGTCAGAGGTCTTCTTCCTGTTTCGTCTGTATGACTTCGACCGCAGTGGGTTGCTGGACGGCTTGGAGATGATGAAGCTCCTTTCAGACTACAACTCCCATCATACACCAGTAGCACAGGCCAATGAGTTGGTGAGGAAGAGTGGGGTATGTGTGCGTGTGTTTGTGTACTCATTATGTATTTATTTTTTACTTTTCCAGCATACACATGGAACTTCTCAGTACCAGTAGACCTCATGGGGACCAACGCCTGGTCCTAATGAGGCAAAACTAAAATTCTGAGGACACAGTTGAGGTTATGGTTAGGCTGTCCACAGTGAATGAAAGTCATTGCAACGTGGATAGCTGCACAAACATTAGGAACTTCAAGTACATTGGAATTATTTATTTATAGAATAACTTCAAAAGTCCTAGAACACAAAAATCGACTTGTATTAAAAGGCCCTGTTTGTCTCACCTGCGTTTGTGTGTCTGTGTGTTTTCTCTGAGTTCAGGTGGTGTCTATGGTAGACTTTTTACTCCAGACTCAGGATCTAAACCAGGACGGTCTACTGGCCCCCTCAGAGCTACTCTCTCCTTCATTACCTCACACAAAGGTACTGTGCATGCACACACACACACACACACACACACACAC